GCTAGAGTGCAATGGCCCGATCTCGGCTCCCCACAACCTCCGCCTCCCAGGTTCAAGTGATTCTCCTGCCTCAGCCTCCTGAGCAGCTGGGATTACAGGCTCCCACCATGCCCAGCTAATTTTGTATTTTTTAGTAGAGATGGGGTTTTTCCATGTTGGTCATGCTGGTCTCGAACTCCCAACCTCAGGTGATCTGCCCCCCTCGGCTTCCCAAGTTGCTGGGATTACAGGCATGAGCCACCACACCAGGCCAATTAAATGTGAATTTTTAAAGGACATCCTAAGCCCTGTCATTTTACTGAAAATGCTCAAAGGCAGCTATTGTAAAACAGTACCGTTTGCCCTACATTCCAAATAGAACCCATATTGCTAAATAAAAGCATACCTTAAAGGAAATTGAAAAGAAACTATCAGGGCCATCTATCAGCAAAGACGGTAGTAACATTTTATTTTCAGTAGCCTGGTAAGTCTCCTGGCAAGTCTTGATAAAGCGTGCACAGTCTTAAACCAGGAATGTATTATATATTAATACCCCACCCGTTTATCCATGCATGGCTTACTACACCTTCCCTGAATTGTCTAGTCTCAGGTCGATGTGCTCCCTAATCAAGGATTTATCCCCCCTTCATCATCCTTCATCACTCCTTCCCCAGTCTGAACCCTTATTAAACAAAGTATGAGTTATGCCATCTGCTAAAATATAACCTAGCCAGGGAAAATTAGTTAAAAATGTGTTTCAAGTTTAGTCCTTTTCAAAAGGTAGCAAGCTAAGATGATTAAATGGGTAGTCTCATTTCTTAAAAAGCTGTTAAGACTTACACATTAGCTTTATTTTTGTGAGCAAAAGCAATCATACAAACCCACATATGGAACAACTCAACTCCTAACTTGTAACCAGTAAAATGAGCTGAATGTGAAAACCTGAAATTGATACAATAATTCTCAGAACATGCACAGTTGCATATGGCTATGTATTTCATGTTCTTTTTGTCCAGATGGTTTTAGACTTAGCTGGTATACCAAATTCTAAGGAAGAAAGATAAAGGACCAGGAAAAAAAATTACACTTGGGCGAGTTATGGTATCTATTGGTTTTATATAGCAAACTCTGGTTTACCTTAAAAATGACACAATTCTACAGCACCACGACAACCAGGTTTTTTGCAAAACTCTTGTCAGTTCACAAGAAGGAGGGAAAGTGAAAAGAGGAGACCCACAGGCAAGCTAAACCCCGCTGGAAGATCAACAACTGGACGGCTCACTCCTGAGATTACTTTCCAGCATACACTCGCCCTGGCTTTCCTCTAATGCTATCCAAAAGCACTTCAGTTTTACTCATGTTTGCAAACCTTCCAAGCTGACTCCAAGACATTATTAGATGTGGCTCATTCCCAGAGGAACATCTCAGAGAAACAATGGTTAGTGAATTCTTAAAAGTGCAATAAATTGGAAAAGACAAAATTTGGCATACGTATTTTGAGTTGGAAAGGAAATAATTTACTGAATATACTTTGTCAGCTGTTACTCTGATGTTCTTGTTTAAAAACCAAATCATCCAAGTTATATAGATTATGTCTCTCTCTTCCTCCAAACAAAAGCTTAATTCTATAAAAGAGTCAACTGCTATCAGTGCCTATTTCTCCCCTTAAAATAAAAACAATGAATTATATACAGATTTCATCTACCCCTATTCCCTAGATATAAATTAAACTTGTTTTGCATTTAGGCAATTCTAAAACCAAAAGTCATCTTGGCCCATGAAAGAAATTTTGCACAGAGTACCCTATGAATTATAGTACCTGGCCTATCTGCACTATCTTTCAAAATAAATTCAGTAAGTAGAAAATAGGAACCCAGGTTTCATGCTAATTTTGCATTTAAAATTTTTTTATTGTATTTTAGAGACAGTGTTTTACACTCTGTCACCCAGGCTGGAGTGGCAAAATCATGGCTCACTATAGCCTCAAACTCCTGGTCTCAAGTGATTCTCCCATCTCAGCCTCCCAAAATGCTGGAGTCACAGGCATGAGCCACCATGCCCAGCTGGAACAATAAAATGTTTAAGTTGGCCGTGCGTGGTGGCTCATGCCTATAATCCCAACACTTTGGGAGGCCGAAATGGGTGGATCACGAGGTCAGGAGTTTGAGATCAGCCTGCCCAACACAGAGAAACCCCATCTCTACTAAAACTACCAAAAATTAGCCGGGCACCTGTAATCCTAGCTACTCAGGAGGCTGAGACAGGAGAATCGCTTGAACTCGGGAGGCAGAGGTTGCAGTGAGCCAAGATAGTGCCATTGCGCTCCAGCCTGGGCAACAAGAGCAAAACTCTGTCTCAAATTAAAAAAAGAAAAAAAACAAAAAACAAAAAAAAACACATAACATTTAAGTTATATTCACATAATTTCCTTGTTTTAAAAATGGAATAGATAGCAATCTAGTTTACACCAACCTATTTGAACATAATTACTAGAATTTTTTTTTTTTTTTTTTTTTTTTTTTTTTTTTTTTTTTTTTTTTTTTTTTTTTTTTTTTTTTTTTTAGAGAGGGAGTCTCGCTCAGACACCAGGCTAGAGTGCAGTGGCCCAATTTCAGCTCACTGCAACCTCCACCTCCCAGTTGAAGTGATTCTTTTGCCTCAGCCACCCGAGTAGCTAGGACTGCAAGCATGTACCACGAGGCCTGGCTAATTTTTGTATTTTTTAGTAGTGACCGGGTTTCACCATGTTGGTCAGGATGGTCTCAATCTCTTGACCTCATGATCCACCCACCTCAGCCTCCCAAAGTGCTGGGATTACAGAGAATATTTTATTTTTTGAGACAGAGGCTTTCTCTGTTGCCCAGGCTGGATTGCAGTGATGCAATCTCAGTGCACTGCAAACTCTGCCTCCCAGGTTCAAGTGATTCTCCTGCCTTAGCCTCCCGAGTAGCTGAGATCACAGGCACACACCACCACACCCAGCTAATGTGCATATTTTTAGTAGAGATGAGGTTTCACCATGTTGGCCAAGCAGGTATTGAACTCCTGACCTCAAGTGATCTGCCCACCTCGGCCTCCCAAAGTGCTTGGGATTACAGGTGTAAGCCACTGCGCCTGGCCAATTACTAGGATATTTTATTACTAAACATAGCAGAATACACATTTAAGCAAAACTATCCTCATTTGGACCACTTAAGAGTGAAGGCTTATAAAAACTAGTGAAAGTCTAAAGGAAATAGGTTTTGCATCTTTCCAATACATAATAAAATTGCAAAGTCAATTTTTATAATGTATTAAGTAGAAGCCCAAATGCTTTTAATAGGGAAAATTTAATTTGGACATACCTACTAGTAAAGTATCTAAAACATTTATTAAATTTTTTGTCCAGCATAATCTTTACCCATAGATACTAACAAAGAACAACCTAGACAGTAAAATTAGTTCCCATATCTGAGGACTCCAAATTAATGAATTTTACTATATTAATATTAAACAGAACATACATTTTTAGAAGGATGCAAATTTCTACTCCTTCATATCTAGAGATTAAATTTTAATCCAACAAAGCTAATGGAATTGTAACACTTACATAAAAAAATGGAAATAGGTCCTGACTACAAACATACTCCACATAACTTACTGAAAACTTAAGATCAACTGCTTATTTCATGGCAGCCTGGAAGAATAATTATGTAATAAACGACAACAAGAAAAAGCCACTTATCATAGTCTAGTCTTTATTGAAAGACTTACTTCAACTGTGGTTTACAGCTTTGGCTTAAGTTGGCCAGTCATTTGAGCCTCACTGCCAGCAGACATAAAAATCAAGTGGGAATGGCATGGGGGTTGGGGAAGAAAATACTAGTAGAGAAATCATTAGAGCAAAGAATATGGCAGAAACATATCACCAAAATAAATCTCAAAATAATTATGAAATAAGAAACATTTCCTTGCATGCTAAAAAATCTCTGCTGATGCTTTTAATGAACAGTGTGGTAGGGGCAACGATTCTTAGGCTTCAGTTGGAACAAGATAGCACTGAGTCATGCTATAAAATCGTCTGTTAGCTCGTCGAACTTTTTTGAGTCTCACTCTGTCACCCAGGCTGGAGTGCAGTGGGTGGCGCAATCTCGGCTCACTGCAACCTCCACCTCCCAGGTTCAAGCAATTCTTCTGACTTAGCCTCCCAAGCCGCTGGGACTACAGGTGCCTGTACCTGGCTTTTTTGTATTTTTTAGTGGAAATGCGGTTTCACCATGTTGGCCAGGCTGGGCTCAAACTCCTGACCTTAGGTGATCCCCATGCCTCGGCCTCCCAAGGTGCTGGGATTACAGACATAAGCCACTGTGCCTGGCAACACTCATACTTTTTAAGTGGTGCATTTCATTTGGGTAAGTAGCTTTGTATTTTAAAAACTACTTACCACACCTGGGTTTTGTTTTTTCTTCGTATTTTTAGTAGAGATGAGGTTTCATCATGTTGGCCAGGCTGGTCTCCAACTCCTGACTTTAGGTGATCCACCACCCGCCTTGGCCTTCCAAAGTGCTGGGATTACAGGCATGAGCGACCATGCCTAGCAACAGTTGTACTTTTTCTTTTTGGAGATGGAGTCTCGCTGTCGCCAGGCTGGAATGCAGAGGTGCAATCTCTGCTCACTACAACCTCCGCCTCCCGGGTTCAAGTGATTCTCCTGCCTCAGTCTCCTGAGTAGTTGGAAACACAGGCGCATGCCACCACTTCCAGCTAATTTTTGTATTTTTAGTAGAGACGGGGTTTCACCATATTGGTCAGGCTGGTTTCAAACTCCTGACCTTGTGATCTGTCCGCCTTGGCCTCCCAAAGTGCTGGGATTACAGACATGAGCCACCTTGCCTGGCCCAGTTGTACTTTTTAAATGGTGCATTTCATTTGGATAAGTAGCTCTGTATTTTAAAAACCACTTAATATGAAATAACTTCCATTAACTGATCATGAAATTTTGCCCTCTTTCAGATTAAGATGAAGGACACTTCAGTCACATGTTTACTGTGGCAATATAACTAGTCTGGATAATTTTATTAAATCATAGAATACAGTCAGGAAACAGTACAGCTATATTTAGCTGTTATCTCAATAAGCTACTTAATTTACTGGCAGACCAAAACAGGCATACTAAGCATTTTTAATTTTATCAATTAAAAAAGGTCTTCAGTTGTTCACGTTTCACATATATTCATAAAATTTTTAACTCGGGGGCACAGTTAACATAATTTATTGAGTGTTCTCTCTATAAAATATAAATTAACTTTTCAAAAACATTCCTCAAACATACTACAAACAAAAGAAATAAGGGTATATTTTATAACAGAAGAATGTAATAAATGACCATTATGGTTAAAACTAAGGTGCCATTAAAAAACTTGGCCCAAATAGGAACTTCAGACCCTATGAATTCTTATGTTGAATACATTTGGCTATACTGCTAAGTGGGAAGAGGAGGAAAGTAATACCAAATTATTGTGATCACCAATTTATAAAATCATCATTATTTTAAAGCTAATTGTAAGACTTCAAATGTTTAGAAAACAGTAATTTGTGTGTGCCAATTGCATCTTACTACATAACTGTAAAAGCCTATTTTCTTACTTTGGTACCCAGGCCAGTATTCTGAATATACTGCCAAGACATCTGCATGCCCTAGCTCTGACAATTCAAATACATAGGATTTCTATTTTACATTCTTGTTTGATAGAAATTTGAGGCAAATTTTACCCACACAGCCTGAAAAACACCTTGAAGGCAAACCTCAGTCTCTGCATCTTCCAATTGATTCCTATACAAACCCTGCACACATATAGCTTAAGCCTCTGTTCAGGCTTGTGATACCATGCATAACCCACAAGGATAAAAATTAATTGAAAATAAAAGCCACAACTCTGTGTACTATTTAAACTGAATATCCAATTATAAATTGGTACATTGAACTGTTTAAATAAGATGTTTTTTAGCAATCTTGTTAAAAAAATTCTTGGGCAAAATATATCTTAATTTTTAAAAACACCCCAAGATTTTTAAAAAACACTTGTACTATACAACTTATAGTAACCTTGAAATTGGTTTACAAGTTTTAATCAAGGTATTTACATACCAAGTAATGTAAACCAAAAAAAAAAAAAAAAAATCTAATTCCCAATGATATTTCATAACATACTAATGCATCAAAGATTTGTATGAAATTAAAATTAAGGCTTTTTCTGCACAATTTGTGTAATTTTAATTTTATATAGTAGCCAACCTTGGAAGTGTCAGTCTTAAACATTCTGATCAATCCACTGCATTCAATGCAGTGGAATGTGTTAAGTGTTACTTCAAATAATTACATTGCTGCTACTTCTATGTTGAAGCATGCTTTTTAAACACTGTAGTTATTTAATATTTACAATGTATATCATTTAAACTTCATGTAAAAGCACAAGTATGACTGTCTGACTTTAATACAAACACCATACTTGGAATTTCCCCCAAAATGAAATGTAATATACTACAATTTTAATAATCAACACTTTTGGAAGTTTTAAAAATATGTCTTAACGTGGACCACCACCATTTCCTCAAGTAACTCAAACAACGCTGTTTCTTTTTTAGGGTGCAAAACTTCAGTCTGGCTTCAGTTTCTTTAGGCATAGAGAAAGAAAGAATTTCCTCCAAAGTGACTCCAAAATCATGCATTTCTTCTGAATATCACACTTTTTCTCTGCTGACTTCAAATGTGGTCCACCTCAGGGAAGGGGAGGGGAGTATCAGGATTCAGGATGAACTTATATGTGATTCCCAGGTTTTCACGATCCTCCCTTTTTTGCTCTTTTAAAAACACAGTGAGTTAAAATACTGAACAGCAAGATAAAAATGGAATAGTATCTAAGAATCAAAATGTATTAGCCATTTTTCCTATTATATCAAAATTTGTAGTCAGAATTGTCTTTATTGACTTTATTTTAGTTTTTGTACACAAAGAAAAATCATGTTCATATCCATCATGAACAAAAACTTAAAAAGGCAGAACTAGAAGACATGTGTCCTTCACCAAAGCAAATCCGTGCTAAAGGTTCCAAACATTTCAATTTTTAAAATAAATATTTTCATTTTCCGACGTCTACTTTCATGTCTTCAGAGTGTCACAGGAAATCGAAGCCTATCATGAATTACAATTTTTTTTTAGAGTCCCAGCTCACTGTGTTTGGTAACTTGCCATACCATATCCAGCTTGGTTAGGAGGAGGTATTACAGGGGGAGGAGCTTGTCCTTGGGGAGGCTGAGCACCAAATCCACCCATCCAAGCAGCAGAAGGTGATTGACTTGGAAGAAAAAAAGAAAATCTTCAGCAAACACAAGAAAAAAAAAAGAAATCACATATGTATTTACACAAAAATCAGGCAGAAAAATGGTATATGTGTAGGACACATATTTCAGTATTAGTCTTCAGTATTTTTACGATAACCACAATTTAACACAATGATGTCTGAGGAGTATCTGCAAACTAATTTTTTAAAAATTGTGAACGAGCCGGGCGCGGTGGCTCAAGCCTGTAATCCCAGCACTTTGGGAGGCCGAGGCGGGTGGATCACAAGGTCAAGAGATCGAGACCATCCTGGTCA